CGGTGAGCTGGGCGTTCCCGTTGAGGAACTCTCCAGAAGACAGCGGGAAAGGACTGAGAGATGGGAGCCGGAGAGACCGCGGATTGGGATCAAAGTGCGAAAAGTCAGACACCAGGGTGGACTAGAGAGAAAACATTTGAAGAAACGAGGAAGGTGAATTTTCTAGATTTGAAGAAAGCTGGGAAACTTCAATTCGAAAAGCACCATCGAGTCCCAAGTGAGAAATGAGGAAAAGTCACACCTGGACATGGGACAGTTTTCTTACGAATATCAAAGACACAGAGAACATTCTAAAAGCTTCAGAGAAAGAACAGATAGCCTAGAGAAAAAAAAATCAGAAATCAGGTTTCTCAGCAACAACGATGGATGTAAAAAGAGAGTAGAATAATATTTCGTGTACCGAAGGAAGATAACTTTCCATCTAAAATTTCATATCCAGACAAACTTCTGTTCAAATCCAAGAGCATAATAAAAACATCCTCAAGTCTGATCGCCACACAAAGACCTACCCTGAAAACAGGCTTGGACGAAGTAAGGAGGAAAGAAATCCAGAAGCCGAGAGATACTGGATTTCCGGGAAGTCAGGGTGATGTGATGCTTTGGTACAGTTTACCGTTGTCCTTAAAAATTTTTTTAAAGCTAGGATTAAAATGCGACGGGGGAGGGGGAGGACCAAAAGGACAGAACTTGCTTGTCGTAGGAAGATACAGATATTGAAAAGTTTAAGAAATCAAAAGGAGGGCCAAATCTGAAAACCTGGATGGAATATACCAATTTCTAGAAAAATTTAAAGCATCAAAACTGACACATGAAGCAATAGAGAATTTAAATAGACCAGCAAGCAGTAAAGAGATTCCACTGCTAGTCAAGGACCTCTTATTTTCAAAATCCCCAATCCAAATGTTTTTATACTAAACTCTCAAGGAACAATTAATTTCTTACAGAACTTGTTCTGGAAAACAGAAAAAAGAATGGACATTGCCCAGTTCATTTTATGAGGCCAGTGTGGTCTTGATTCCAAAACCAGGTAAAGGAGAATCCAAGATAAGAACAATTATAGACTCGTTTTAGTTATAAATGCAGATGCAAAAATCCTAAATAAAGTATTAGCTGACTAGATCCCTCAGTGTATTTTAAAAGTACGTGGTGATCAAAGGGTTCATGTCCCAGGAATGCAGGAAGGAAGGAAAGGGGACGTCCAGGCCACATGTATAATGGCGTCCAGCAGGTGGCAACAGAGAGTCTTGGCTAATCAGGTCATTATGACCAGGAAGCCAGTCTTGACGAAGTGGGACGTTTGAAGAAGTGGCATGCCTTTTGACCTGCACTTGCAGCATGGTGCCAGGGGGACATCTGTCTGGCAAGGATGGTTCAACCTCAGAAAATCTCATTAACTGGCTAAAGGAGGGGAGAAAAATCACACCCCAATCCTTGTAGAGAAAAAGGAAAAAGCCCAACAACCTACTTAAGAATTTAAAAAATACTGCTAGCCAACTAGCAGTAGAATAGAATTTCTACAACTTAATAAAATTTATGCACCAAAACCCTACAGCAAACACTACATTCAGTGGAGAAACGACATGCCTCCTCTTTCACCTCGGAATGAGACAGGATGCTGACTTTGGTCACTTTTGCTCGGCTTAGGGGACAGGTCCTGGACAGTGCCACAAGGGAAGAGGTAAAAGGGGTTAAGACTGGAAGGGAAAAGGAATGGCTGTCATTATTTACAAAAAGAACCAAGTGGAGACTATAATATTTAAAAATCAAGCTCCATTCACAATATAAACCAAAGTATAAAGTATTTGTGAATTAACTGATACTCTATAAGACCTCTGTGGGGCCCACTGTCAAGCTCTGTAAAGAGGGTTATGATAGGTGGAGGCTGCGCCCTCGAATGGTCCCCTTGCTGGTATAAAGCTGGCGATCCTCCCCAGTCAGAAGCCCAGGGTTCTGGTGGTGGTGCTGGTGGCGTTACCTGATTCGCATGCTCTGTGACAATCAGATCCACAAAGGACTAGTTGACCTTGTGACAAGAGTGAAGAGGGCGAGTTGTCCCATGGATACGAAGACCTCCCAGACAGCCTCAGTGAGAGCACAGCGTGGTATGGGCAGGAGGTAGGCAGAGCGACCAAAGGGGGCACTCAGAGCCCCCCGCACGCACCCTGGGTGGCTGGTGAAGATGGCAGCACCCCAAAGCCAAGGGGCAAGGCTGGTGGTTTGGAGGAGGACGTGGGACTTTGGGCTCATGCCAAGGAAGAGAACAAAGCTGGTTCCCTGGCTAGTTCCCTTGATGACAAGACTACAACTTAACAGATGTAATATATGGTCAATTGTAGCTGAGACTGTGAAACGCAGTTAAAAGGCAACAGGTTTTCTTTTGACAGGTTACTATGGAGTTGGTGTTCGGCGAGGGGCGGCACGGGCAGAGTCCCCAGCGAGAAGATAGACAGGATTGACCGACAGAAAACAGGAGCTGCCCCCCAAACCAGAACTGGGCGAAGGGTAGAAATGGGAGGGGAGAGGGGGGCTTGGGAGGAAGAAAATGCCGGGGAGAGGAGCCCCGAACCTGGGAACTACAAATTAGAACACTGACGTCGCTGCGCCTGTGACCAGCTGCAGGACAATGCTGAGTGCTGGGCAGTGGAGGAGGGGACACCATGCAGCGGGAGTGGCAGGCGGCCATCGGCAGTGCTGGGTCCATCCGCCCTCTGCCAGCGGGAACCTTGGGGCCGTTGCCCCCCCGTCCCTGGGCCCCCGAGCAGTTCCCACTCAGGTCCTCTAAAGAAGAGGGTGGGAGGTGAGGGGGGACCCCAGGGGCTGCGTGCGGGACATGAGTGCCCAGAACCCAGAACCTGTGGAAAGGGAGGAGGGGCTCCCTATCTGGAACAGCCGGATGAGGGGGCCTATGGGGCAGCGAATGAACAAATGAATGAATGTTGTCTCTTTTAAGATCCCCAAGTTCTTCCAGAGATCATCAAAATAACAAATTGGCTGGGAGGGGCCCCTAGGCCGTGGCACCCCCACCCCTACCAACTCTCCTGCCCGCAGGCCCCCCGCCTGCCCCAGGCCACTGCCCAGGTGCCATGGTTAAGCACGAGGGGCGCTGGGTCCAGCCACTGTCCCCAGGCCTCTGACCCCTCTGTGCCTGAGTCTTTGGGCTGGACAAATGTCTGTGGGGACCAGGGTCCCTCAGCCTCTGTCCGATGTCCCCTCCCAAGACAGGGTCCCAGAATCTATGCTGCTTTTGAAACCCATCAATTAACCAGCAGCCTCCTAGGGATCCCCAAACCCTGCAGGAGATTTGGCGGGGCCAGGCCACCTCATGTCGCCCACTCATCCACACAAGATCCAGTGGAGAGGATGCCAACCCTGAAAACCACGCCCAGAGCCCCGGCTCCGCCCCTCACTAAGGCGTGGCTTGCTGGCAGGTCCCCAGGTAACAGGAAAACGATCTGCCCCAGGCAGTGCCAGGCCCTGGGCTCCAGCCTTCCCCAGGGCTGGGCCCTGAGACCCTCCAACCTGAGGAATGACGCTGCAAATTAGGGACGGGCCACCCTTTTCGCAATGGGCTGGACACTAAATAGCCTAAGTTTTGCTGTCCACACGGTCTTGTCACAGCCCATGACAGTGGCCATATATGTAGTGATTGAATGGCGGGGAGGGGGGGGCTGTGTAGCTAAAACTTTATCTACAGACATAAAGGTTGAGTTCCACATACTTTTTGCTGGCCACGAAATAGTGTCCTTCTTTAGAATTTTTGCCCATTTAAAAACGTGAAAACCATTCTTAGCTCCAGCCCCACCAGGAAGGCCGGGCGGCATTCGGGCAGCTTGAGGGCAGTAACAGACAGCAGGGGGCTTTCCCATGGCCCCCTCAGAGCCTTTAATACTGGGTGAAGCAGCATTTCTCACCCAAGTGGTTGTGGAAACTGTTTTCCCCCTAATTCCCACCGTGTTCTGGACAGGGAAAAATATAAATAAGTTACGAAAAACAATACTGGAAAGGAAG